GCTAGCCTTGAGCTGAAAAGCTGAGGGACAGCGCCCAGGCCGAGTTCAAACCCCATGACCAACAACAGCAACGAAAAAGAATATTTTGGAATCCTCTAGAAATAGCTCAATGTGCCAGTGAACTTCAGATCACTATCTTTCATGAAACCCTAATTTGTACCTAACAATGTCTAGGGAAAATTGATTATAAGCTCTTGCAGTCCCTACATTACAGGTTATAAAAAGAAATTTCTAGGTTGTTGAGAAGAAGGGGCTCTAGGAGCCACTCACCTACATAGTCAGGTGGCTAGATTAATATTTACTTTCTGAGTAGACAATGGAGGGAAGCAATAAAGATCTTAGTGCCCTTCCTTTGTGGCATGGTGAAGGAGACTTACATGCTCCACTTCACCCTAGGAAAGGGCAAAAGAAGCGTGAAGAGAATGGCATGACTGACTCATCTTCAAGGGGCAGCTTCTTCAACCTTTGCGTTGAGAACCTGTTCCTGAGCAAGTCTGGTGACACTCACTGGAGTCTGTTTTGCAAAAATACAGAGAGCCAATATCCTTTCCTTTGGGGAACTTCAAACTCAAAGGTTGGAGTTGGGAGAGATTGGACTCGAGAGTTGGGAAAGGGTTGCTTTGATGAGAACACAGACACTCTTCCAAACATACCCACATTTGCAATGGAGGCAATGGGAAACCCAGGGCCTGTCTCAACCAGATTGGGTGTATGCAGCTGTTTCTGATGGCCTACATCCAGATGTTGTCACAGATATGTATCTTCAGTGCAGATGCTGGCCCCTGAAAGCACTACTCCAGGCATGATAGGGTGGCCACTTCATTCTGAGGTCCTATAGTGGTAGGCTTCCCAAGGCAGACAGTTTGTTGGCCCTAAGTACACTCACAAAGCAGCATTAAAGAGATTGCCTAACTGCAATTGTCTTAATAATTTACTAGCCACTGTTCTGGCACCAGACATTTTATATATTATCTTAGTCAATATTTTTGTAATGACAGGAAAAGAAATCTAAATCCTGTCTTGGTATTTTGGCACTGTCAGGTTTCAAGTAGAGAACGTATTTTTCTCCTGCAGGCAGCCTGATGGTTCTGTGGATGGTTCTAGAACCCTTGTGTTTGAGAGTTCTTAATGTCATCAGACACTGCAACAAAGGAATCTGCATTGCATTTTCCAAGTATACTTTATTGAATAATTTAGTTCATTAACAAAGGATAAATAGGGTCCATGTTTGTACCTCAAAACAAATATGACTGTTCAGAACATCATCACAAGGCAAAGTAATACAGCTAAATTCAGAAATAAAACTACATGTAATTACCACATTATGAATCCATTTCCAGTTCTTATCTATGTGGATTAACATCAGAAGTTCTCACTGACATCTGCCAGCTGGGATGACAGCAAAATATACACGCTCAAAGCACACACACTCAGGAGCTGAGTGCTTTCTGCTCTTTAAAATGTGTGGTCATAGTTGAGTGACAGCCTTCACAGAAGGTAAGGACCACTTGTAAAAACCCATCTCACTAAAATGGAGTAAGGAGATATGTGCAACATTTCTAAAATGAGAAACTATAGACATCAAGCTACACAAAGACGTTGTCTGAGACAGGAACTCAGCATTGAATAAGTTGAGCATTGACTTTTCCTGTAGAAAGCAATCTGACATTTGGAAATGGAATTTTCATCTCAAAAAGGCCTCAGGGATGCTGGAAATGTAATTCTGAAGGAGAGCCTGTGCTTGTTAGTATGTACCAAGTCCTGGGTTCCATCCCTGGCATGAAAGGAAGTAAGTGGAGAGAGAAAGAAGAAAAGTCATAAAAGGTACATTGTAGGGAAAAGTTGGGCTTTGGTTAATAAAGGAAGAAAGAAATGTAAAAGAGCCACATGCAAGGCAGGAAGAACTGGGGACACTGAGCAGTGAGCCTTGGCCATGGTCTGGCCACTCAGATGGCAGAAGTAGCCAGAGCTGAAGTAAGTCTAACCATCACAGCCTGCCAGGCCTGCTTCTTTCTCTAGCTTGCATTTTTACAAATGAGTTTTCCAAATGAGTTGGCCCACAGCCCAAACCAAACAAGAACATGTATGCATTCTGGTGCCCCTCGCTGAATGGCTAGGTAGGGCCAAAAGAGCAACAGGGAGGAGGGAGGAGAGAACAGGGAATGAAATAATGAAAAGTCTTACTTCCCTAGTATAAAAATCCACATTTGACTCTGAAATGAGAAGAAAAATCAGTCTTGTAATTTTCATAAAAATGATGAGAGTATGCACATAGCTTTTAAAGCATAAGGAAAGAAAGTGAATTAATATAAAGTCCAACAAAAAAAAGCCACTAAAAAGTAAAATCTACAAAACTCAAATCTACAGTACATATATGAGTTCTGTGTTACCAAATTCAATCTGAAAATCTTTGCCCCAAATTAGGTCAGATGACAATTCCTTCCAAAGTTTTTTATGTCACAAGTGAGTGATGGTTAAATACCAACAGATTCTGGTTAAGTGTTGGTGTCTTACAAATTGGAAGTATCAGTCTGATTTCATCATATTTTTGGTCAATTTATTCACTCTAGATAGTGGGAAGTGCCTTTCAGAGCTTAATTCCCCCCATTTGCTAAAGGAAGGGACCAAACTGCCTAGAGAAGGTGAGCAAAGCCATATCATCCATTAAGAAGGCAGGGGAGAAAAACTGCCTCTCACATCCTGACTTCTTAGGAAATTTCATGACAATAAGCCCCAGTGTAGCCAGACACAGCTTCTATGCATCCACACTTGCATCTGGTTTGATTCTCTGGCTTTAAAAAGCCCTGTTTCCCTACCAGAACAGCAATCTACAAAGTTACAGGCTCTTGCTGAAGCAGCCACACATGGGCGTGGGGCAAGGGGACAGGACAGACACCAGACTGATAATCTTCCTTTCCAAGGTAACTCTAGACTGTAATCATCAACTCTGCAAAAGGGAACTAAGCCTCAGCTCTCATATAAAAGGCGCCCTGCTGGCATGGGGGATGCTTTCCATCCAAATGTGGAAATTTAACTACAAATTCAAACAAGATCCTTTCTCAATGTAGAGTCTCCTTTCTAAACCTCAAAAAATAAAAATAAAAAAAATCACACCCACTAACTGCAGGGTCATCAAGTGGATTAGTGCAAAGAAATCATGCTCTATTTGACCTAAGCTGTCCTTTCCACGTGTGACAGGTTCTGGGGCAAGTTTATCTGCCAAAGTGAGTCAGAATGAAAGCTGGATGCAGGTTACAAATACTGCAAAAGACCTTCTGCTCAGTCTGGTGGTGAATCCATGCTGCAGGACCAAAAACTTCCTCCCATACGGGGTTTCCAATCAGGCCCTTGTGTCTTATTTAGCATTTGAGTGAATGCCAGCTCCCTGTGGTCTACCAATATTAATGCATGCACTGCCTTGTATTTTTCCAGACTCAATGAACAGCATCAGCTAAACATAGCACAGTAACATAACACTTCAGTCACAGGGCTGTGCCGCTGTGTTCTCTCTCTCTCCTCTCCCCTCTCTCTCTCTCTCTCTCTCTCCCTTCCTCCCTCCCTCCCCCACCCCTCTGTCTCTCTTTTCTCTCCAGTATTGGGGCATTAGGGCTTGAACTCAAGGCCTGATTTTGCTCAAGGGAAGTTCACTACTAGTTGAGCCTCAGCTCCACTTCCATCTTTTTGGTGGTTTATTGGAGATAAGAGTCTCACAGACTTTCCTGCTTGGGCTGGTTCCAAGCAGCAATTCTCAGATCTCAGCCTCTTGAGTTGCTAGGATTACAGAATAAACCACTGCTTTTAAGAAAATGAAACATTTTAAGCACAGTCATATATTAGGGATATGAAAAACCAAAGTAGGAGCACAGAAATGCATCATACTATGTGAGCAACAACTAGGAAGGAATAGGTTTTAATCCCAGGATGACTAAGAAATTGGCATGGGCCTTCACTAAGTGGCATATTTCCCTCTATGTACTTCTCCTTCCCTGTAGACATGAGGATGAGGTCCCTGTGTGTTAGTTCTTCATGAGCATGTGATCTCTGAGAGGGCATGGAGAACAGTCAACATGATAGGATTACTGTTATTCTTATTGCCATTGTGCCAACAGTACCTCAGAGTGACATGACTAAAAATATGAGCATTATAAGAAGAGCTGATCATATCACGGCAGTTATTTGGAAATAGAAAATACAAGGAGGAAAGGCTTCAAGGTGAACAGATGGGCTGGTATAGCATGTACAATGGGACTTCAGGTAACTGCATTGCTGGATGCTTCTTCATAGGGAAATGAAGCATGTTTTGCTCATCTGTACCTTAACAAAGCAATGGTGCACTAGCTCCAGAATTGGAATTTATTATCGTGTCCAAAGAGAACTGAGCAGATGGGCCCCTTGCCTTTGGTGCCCAACTATGATTTGTTTATAGCCTCTGAATCACATGAGATTTCACACTGGTGAAACTGTTGCTCTTGTAAATGTTTTAGTTTAACCAGAAACTGGAACTTGCCCTTATAGTCATTCCACACTAGAAGCCCAGCACTGTCCTTTACTAGTATGATGATTCTATTGCCTGTTGCTGACACCTGGGGCAAACTTGAAAAAAGGTCTCATAATTGTCAATATTATTATGAAGGCTGTTCTATTAAACTAACCATAAACAAGTCCCTTCTGCATTCTCCAAACTAGTGTGTTTTGTGTGGACAAACTGTCTGTTAAGGTATGCATCATGTAATGGTAGAACATTCATTTGAAAATAGAATTGTCCATGTAGTAGTGCTTCAGGACTGAAGCACTTGGATGAGAGTGCGAAATAAATGGGAAGTACAGTGCCTGATGCCTCCTCAAGCCTCAGAATTCAAAGCAAATTTATCTGATGAATTACCTGATTCCAGGCCAAATCAGAAAGAGTCAAAATTAGAATTTTTATAGAGATAATTACTGGCTTGAGAGAGTCATAATGCAAGAACTGGACTTTTTTCCCTGTCCCTCTAAATTCATCCTCCAGATTTAAAAATCTCAAATAAATCTACAGTATGATTGCTCTAGTATTTCAAAACATAGCAGACATAATGTACCCCTACCTCAGCAACTAGCCTCCAATAATAAAAAATACATTAAGCTAAAAAAAAAACAACTCAAGAAGGCAGGGAAACATCTTCCTGATGGGATGCATTATGTGGGATGTGGGGATCTGTCTGAGCCCCCAGGGAGCAGGAACTGGGTAACCCACTGAGTGCAGCAAAGTCGCTCCAAGTTCAAGTTCAAGGGCTCTCCCTACTCCCCCTGCCAGTCAGCAAAGGGGTCAAGGCATCAGAACTGCTGAGTGCTCAAAAGTCTTCTCAAAGCAGCAGCAACCGCAGCACTTTTCCTGCAAAGCAAACAAAATATGAATCCTGTTAATTCAGCAGGACTTTTAAAATTGTAATTAGCTGGTTGTAGCCCTTAGGAAAACCACAGATGATTTTTTTTATAACGTATGTGTGTATGTGAGAGAAAAAAAAGAAACCTCTCAATGGATTCCGCTGCTTACCCAAAATGGGGTTTGAAGTTTATGGGAGATATTTTAGCACTATTTGCAATATCCAGAGACAAGGCCTCTTTGTTTCTTCTGAAAAACAGCCGCTCCTGCCCTGTGCCATGGGTCCTTGGTCAGCCGGATCCCAGTATCAAAGTGAGAATGTGAATCATGCAGAGCACATAGTCCTCTCTCAACATTCATGGCAGATTGGTTCCAGGCCTCCATACATGCCAGTCCTTTATATATAAAATGGCAAAGCATTTGCAAAGAACCTGTGTGCATTCTCCACTGTACTTTAAATCATCTCCAGATTACTTATACTGTAATATCTAATACAGGTTATATGCTGTGTGAATAGTTGCCATGCTATGCTGTTTAAGAGATGATGACAAAAAAGTCTGTCCATGTTCAGCATGGATGCAAATTTTTATTCAAATATTTTTCATCCATAGCTAGATGAATCTGAAGATATGAACCATGAATATGGAGGACCAACTATACTTCCATTTGCTTTAGGGCATCTCTAACCTAGGGCCTAAGTACTGTTTGCTTTCCTGAATCAATTCTATGGATAGGAGGAGGTTTTCTAAATTTCTATCATATATTCTGGCAAAAGAGGCAAAAGATGCAAAGGGAACAATGAATGGAGTGGTATCAGGTTGTTTTTTTTTTTTTGGAGTGTTTCCTTGGTGCATTAAGAAACCTCTAACAAATTGAAGGAGATTTATATGCCTAAATTTACATTGTGGATTAGACCTTATTTATAGAGCCTGGAACTCTCTTTTTCCACAGTAATAATCTTTAACCACGAGATTTTTAAAATCAATATTATCTCAAGTTTGGTTTTACTCATAATAAATCCTGCCAAAACCCATCTCACCCTGGCAGAGAATCTGATGTGAAGAATGATTTTTTTTAATCTTCTCAAAAGAGTTTTCTCCCAGAGTTAATATCTTTCATTTACTTTTAAATTAAAAATAGGGGCGGAGGCTCAATGAGAGAGCCTCATCATGAATGAGGCCCTGGTTTCAATTGCTAGCACTGTAGGAAAGGGGGTTAGGAAATAAACTTAGAATCTACATCCACATCATGTGAATCTGAAATAATTCTTCCTTGGCCTCTGGTCAAATCCAGGTGAATTTTTATGGCCTAATGGAGCTAGAGGAACTCAGGGAAAGGAGGCAGCAGCAAAAGCAAACCTGACAAGAGTCTGGGGAGGTGGCATGCAATTCCAGCAAAGGTTGCACCTATGTGACCAGCTCAAATGCTTGTATCTGTCTTCTGCATGACTTCTGCCACTGTATTCTATCGCTCCAAATTCAAGGTAACAACTTTAACTTTGAAGATGTCTACCTTCTCCCATGGCCATTTCCTCTTCATTCTTTCCCCTGCAGACCCTGGCGACAAGCTGCCTTGGAATGCAACCTCCTGTCACCCAGAGCATTCATTCCCATCAAGCCTCAAATGTGACTCCAGAATTTCTGGTGGGAAGGTGGTTTGTGGCAAACCCTCGGGGTTTGTGGTGGCTGGGGACAAAACTGCTTGTAGGGGAGAGAGTGAAGAAGAGGGGAGAGGAAAGGCACAGGGGGACTGTGTTGGGGCCTCCCTACTGAGGGCTTACATTGACAGCTATCTAAGCTTTGTAAGCTCAGCCTGATGCACCAAGACCCGTGAAAGAAAATTACTTTCTACCTTCCCCATACTTTGATACCCTTGTTAATTTGGATAAACAAGCATGGTCTCTGTAAATTGAAAGCCCAGGTCTTCTAGTTGACTGTTCATAGATTACTAAATAAGTAACAGGCTCATAAGTAAATAACCCCCATACAGAAAGGCCAAGTGCTTTCTAACACTGTGGACTTGATTATTGTATACTGATTTATTTCTACCCCATTGTATTCTATGAAAGATTTTTGAGGCTGTTTACAAAAATATATTCAGCCAAATAGACACACAAAAACCTCAGGTTCCAGAAAATACCAACTGGAATAAAGAAAGGATTGAGATCAGTAGGGTCTGATGATAAAGCTCCATAGTAAAGGACTTGCCTAGCATGTACAAGGCACTAGGTTCAATCCATTATTTAAAAAAGGAAAAAAAATAAAAGGATTAAAATGAGTGGGCTAGAAGGCCAGAATCATATATCATATATTCTAGGAAGTCATTAAAACTTAGCTGTGGAAAACTGGCCAAGGACTTTGTGCCTCTTCAGTGATATAAATGGTGGGTTTTCTGAAAGTCCTTAATGACCCATTGATCTTATACCGTTCTTTAGTTATTGATATACGTGAAGATATTCATGCACAAAACTATCCTTTAATTCTGACAAAACTCTAAGAGGGGCAAAGGAAAGTTTGTGCAAAGTGGTGTGACTCAGGATCAAAGAGGACAAGGAGAGGAGCAGATCACTGGGGAGGGGCTCAGGCTTTGTTTTAGAATGACAGGTCTGGATGGAGTCCATTGTGACTGAGTTGTTCCACTTCTGAGGTTCTGAGGTACAGTTCCCCAGTTTACACAAAAGAAGACATCACTTCCGTAGACCTCATGAAACTTTTCTAACGATTACCTGAGGCAATTTCTGTTCCATCTAGAGCCTACTGAGCTCATTATTGAGATTCCTTCTTTATGCCAGGCCCTGGTCGTATGGCTTTGCCTGGACTATTTCATTGATGCCACTCAGTGAGCTTAGAGTATTGGCAATCCACATGTCAGGGAACTGAGCTTCCTCTACTAGGCAACAACAGAACCAGGGCACAAAGTCAGCAATCCGAATTTGGGGACCTCTCCCACTCCTTAAGCCAAAACACAGTTCTGCTTCTCACCATGCTGTGCAAATAGCATACAACTGCTTTGTTTCTTTCTTCCTTAATTTCTCTGCTTTTTTTTCTTTCTCTTTCTTTCCTTATATTCCTCCTTTCCTCTCTCTTCCTTCCTTCCTTCCTTATTTCCTTCCTTCTTTCTTCCTTCCTCTTTCTTTCTTTCATTTTTTTATTCCTCTCACTTAAAGCATACAACAAACATTTCTTCCCAAGACAAGTGGACCATATTTTCAAGGCTATTCAAATCTGTGCCTTCTCAGATTGCGGCCCTAGTTAGTCCTCAAAATAAATGTACTATTCTTCATTCCCAGAGGAGAGCGAAGAGAGACAAAAGACCGAAGACCAACCTTTCAAATAAACCAGCACCTTCAATGGACTATTTGGTCATGAGGTTCTGAGCATCAGAGTTGCAGTTCTTCTTCTAGAAAAATCAGGAGACATTTGGGGAAAATTAAAATTGTTTCCATAAATTCTTGACTTATGAGAACTCAAAAAGGAGTAAATAATTTGCTACTGAATAGAAAGTGTTTTCCACAGAGATTCTTTTTTTGTTTGTTTGAGACAGGCTTTCACTAAATATCACCCAGATGGGCTCACAACTCACAGTCACCTTTATGCTTTAGTCTCCTAAATTCTGAAATTATAGGTGTATGCCAATGTGCCCAGTTTTTAATAGATATTTTTTTCTTTTTTTGGTCCAGTCGTGAGGCCTGAACTCTGGGCCTGGGCACTGTCCCTCAGCTCTTCAGCTCAAGGCTAGCGCTCTACCACTTGAGCCACAGCGCCACTTCCAGCTTTTTTTCTTTTTGCTTATATGGTGCTGGGGAATCGAACCCAGGGCCTCATGCATGCAAGGCAAGTGCTCTACCACTGAGCCACCTTCCCAGCCCAATAGATATTCTTGAAAGCTAAATTGTAAAAGACCCCTGCAGACATGCTTCCAACCTTTACAGTCCAAGTCAAGCATGTCTTCTACTCTCCTATAACATCCTCATGATCACTTTCCTTACTTTTCACTGAGAGTCACTCACATTTAGTTTTCACATGTATGCCTTGTTAAAACCCACTTTGACAAAGCACAAGAGCCAGTACTTGTTTCATTAGGGCTCTGATGGCTAGAGGATGATTCAGATGGCATGCAAGTGCCGATGGATAGGTTCACTAAGAGAAAAGAATCCTCAGTTTGGAGTCAAAGAAAAGCCATTGTAAAAGAGGTAACATGGAGGGCTGGGGTGAGGCTCAAATAGTAGAACACTTGCTTAGCAAGACAAGTCTCTGAGTTCAATCTCTAGTACTGTTCAAACACACACACACACAAAAAAAAAACAAGCAAAATATACCCTAGACTAAATCCCCCTCCTCTGGCCATCACTTAACTTGCAAATACATTTTTTAAAAATAAGAAAGATGACATTCAATTTCAGCTTTAATCATCATGATTTTGGCTGATTTACAAGGATGGACAGAGATGGGCCTAGAAATAGGTTTGGGATATCCTGGGGCAGCTGTAACCACTGGTGTGTTTGATTTGGTATGTACAGAAGAGGATGTGTGAAAACTTTCTAAGGATTGACACAATACAATTTAGATCTTAACTGTCCTCCAAAGGCCTTTATATTATTGCCAGCCCTGGTGCTTCCTCCTAATGGGAGGACGTTAGGTTATTGGAGGGGCGTGTCTTTGAAGAAAATTATGTGGCTAGCCCTTTCTTCTTTTGATCTTTTTCTGGCCATGAGATGAGCAGTTTTCCCCAGTCATGTAGTTCCATTATGTTGTTCTGATTTACCATAGTTCCAAAAGCAATTGATGAAACCTCCAAAACTATGAGCAAAAGGAAAATTTTTTTCTTGATAATTATTTGTTGCAATAATGGAACACCGACTAATTCTGAAGTGGTATGATGAGAGTTGTAATTAAGGAAATGGTAATTTGATTAACTAGAAAAGAGTGAATGACAGTTGGATATCCATTTGTGTTTTATTAGTCCACTGAGAGGGCATATGCTATGGGCAAAGGGTATCTTTGTTCTTGGAATAAAGAAACTATGTCATATTTGTTAAGATTTCCTTCCTCTGTCTCCAAAGCAACAAGGAATTGTGCAAATGAGGTACTTGCTGAGTCCTAATGAAGTTATAGTTTGAAATTACTTCAAGTGAGGGCTGTTTCTGACATGGCATGGGTTATGTACAGATTGTTGGAGACTTAAGAAAGGCCAGAACCACTCATGTCATCTTGAGTATAAAACCGAAGACAGAGAACTTTGGGACCTTAATTCTTAAGAAAGAAACAGAAAATGCTTCTTAAGTATAGAGGCTGAAACCAGGCACTGGTGGTTCGTGCCTATAATCCTAGCTACTCAGGAGGCTGAAATCTGAGGGTCACAATTCAAAGCCAGCCTGGGCAGGAAAGTCCATGAGATTCTTATCTCCAGTTACTACCAGAAAACCGGAAGTGGCACTGTGGCTCAAGTGGCAGAGTGCTCTCCTTAAGCTGAAGAGTTCAGGGACAGTGCCCAAACCCAGAGTTCAAGCCCCACAACCAAAAAGTAAAATAATAATAATAATAGATGCTGAAATAGTGAAAACTTAGTTAAATGTTTTTAAGATGAAACAAAAGAGATAAGAATACTTGAAAATAAGTTTAGGTCAAATGGTGGATGAGATAATAAATTTCAACATAAAAATTAATTCTTATTTTACATAATAAAAACCAAGAGTATTCCCAAATTAAATTGTCTAGAAAAATTTAGTCTCAATACAGGCTAAATACTCCTATTCCAAAAGTCTGAAATACTAAATGCTTCAAAATTGAAAACTTTTGCACTATTAACAACATGGCACCACAAGGAGAAAATTCTATATCAGACTTTGTGTGCTGGATTACAATCAAAACACAGGTGCATTAAAATATTGCACAATATTACCTTCAGACTATGTGCATAAGGCATATATAAAATGTAGTTTAATTTTATGTTTAGATATAGGTCCTGTTCTCAAGATGAGTATGTGCAATTTCCAAATTCTGAGAAACATCTGACACCCTTCATGTCTCAGCAATTTGGATAAGGTATCCTTAACCTATATTTGGTTGAAAAATAAAATATGTTGTTTGAATGTTGCCTTTTACTAATGCCAAATATGTACAGTACAAGAATAGTTCTGATTTGTTGTGATTCTGGATCTTTACTTAGGAAGTTTTGACCCATGCCTACTAGCCCTAGTGTTTCTTTTACCCCTTTCAGTTATATTTTCATGGTATTTGGCCTTACATTGAGGTCTTTGATCCATTTTCAATTGATTCTGGTGTAGTGTGATTTATAAGTTTTAGTTTTCTGCATGGGTATTGCCAATTTTGCCAGCCCTATTTGTTGAGAAGGCTGTCTTTCTTCAAGCCTATGTTTTTGGCTCCCATATCAAATATTAGGAGGCTATAAGTCTGTGTGTTTATTTCTGGATCTTCTTTTCTGTTTTATTGGTCCTCAGGCCTATTCTTGTGCCAGTATCAAGCTGTTTTTATTTCTATGGTTTTGCAATAGAGTTTGAAGTTTGGTTCAGAGAAGGGCCTTATATTTAAAGTATACTTAGAGCTCAAAAAATTAAATCCCCCAAAATGAACTCTCAAAAAAGCAGCATCCCAATTAGTAAGTTGGCTAAAGATATAAAGAGAGATTTTTCAGAAGAAGAAGAAAGAATCATCAATAGACACATGAAGATATGTTCAACATCTCTGGCCATACAAGAAATGCAAATCAAAATAACATTGAGATTCCAACTCAACTGAGTTAGAATGACCATTATCAAGAAAACTAACAAGAACAGATGCTGGCAGGAATGTGGCCAAAGGGAACTCATATTACTCTGTTGGTGGGAATGTAAACTTGTTCAGCCACTCTGGAAAGCTGTATGGAGTTCCCTCAAAAGATTAAATATGGAAGAGGAAACAAAGGAGGGGGCAACAATGCTTGATAAGAAATGTACTCGTTATCTTGCCCATGTAATTGTAATTGCTCTGTACGGTATTTTCACAATAAAAAAAAGATTAAATATTGAGCTTCCCTATGACCTAGCAATTCCAATAGACCACAAACAAGGCCACACTAAAGCTACCAGCACAACCATGTTCATTAAACAAGGCCACACAAAAGCTACCAGAACAACCATATTCATTGAAGCATTGTTTGCCATAGCCAAGATATGGAATCAACACAGATGCCCACAGCAGATGAATGGATGAAGAAAACGTTTTATAGAGTTGGAAATGTGGCTTAGTGGTAGAATGCTTGCCTAGTATTCTGGATTTGATTCCTCAGTAGCACATAAACAGAAAAAAAGCCAGAAGTGGTGCTGTGGCTCAGGTGACCTAGCCTTGAGCAAAGAAGCTCAGGGACAGTGCTCAGGACCTGAGTTCAAGCCCCAGGACTGGCAAAAAAAGGAGAAAATGTATTATATATACACAATGGAATTCTATTCTTCCATCAGAAAGATTGATATTGTACCATTCATAAGGAAATGGAAAGACTTGAGAAAAATTATATTAAGCGAAGTAAGTCAGACCCAAAGAAACATAGGTTGCATGTTGTCCTTCATTTGTAATAACTAGAATGTGCCTATAAATCACAGGTAAACATACTGGATGGTAAAGAGAAAAAATACACTGGGACATGATAAATTATACAGGTCTCTAGACATTCACATAGTGAGACCAAAGGAGAATATTATTACAAGAAGATCATAAAGGCTCAATAGCTCTGTGCATATGATCATATTAAATAATATTTATCAAAATGAACTCCAAGAAATGGAAATAAGAGGTTTTTTTTTCCTTTGTTGATGTTTTTGTTTTTTGTACCTTTTGTCTTGCTTGTAAGTTTATCTGTTCTGGGTAAGCGGGGAGCACAGAAGTGGTAGAACAAAAGGTAAAAAATGTAGCAGTGGTACTCACTAGACAGTATATTGAAAATGAACTATACAACTTGTGGAGGATAAGAGAGGGGAAAACTGGGAGAAAGTGAGAGAAGGGGACACTGTTCAATAAGAAATGTACTCATTATCTGACTTATGCAACTAACTCCTCTGTATATCACCTTCATAACAATTAAAAAATGGTTCTGAAAACATAATCTAGGCCCCCTTTATTTAGAAGGACAATAGAGCTATAAGGTTCTGCCCACTCTCTCGAACTTGTCCCTATCCTCAGGATTCTCATCTCCACAGTAGAGTTGATAATCATGGTGTTATAGGATTGGCATGAAGAGTACATAGTTAATTTTTGTAAAGTGGTTAGAGCAATGCCTGTCACTGTACCATGAAATAACTTTAATGGTAAACAGACATACAAAGGATTTTAAAAAAATTGTCGCCACTCTTAAAATATCTATTCACTTCTAGTACCAGCTATTGGATGAAATAATAAAAAGGTGATTTTTGTTGTTGTCACATGGTTTAAATATTTTTAAACATCTTTATACTGTATAGTATCATTAATTCGATGCTGTGGTTTCTATATTGTCCTGCCACGTCAAAGTGTATTTGGACACCAATAGCATGGATAAAAATACATTGGTGGAAAATGGGCTCAAAATAGGTTGGTTACCCTAATAAGCAGGTTATGCAGTCTGAGTGAGGGCCTGGCTCAGTAATAAGTCTATTTTTGCTTGGCATCAGTACCAATTATCAAGGAAAGGTATATTCAGACACAAATAAACCCCATGCTGATGCTGAATTTAGAAGTCAAGTTAATTTCAATAAAAACTGGCTGTGGAAAAAGTGAGTACCTGAAGCACAGTCATTCCAAGGTTTGTTGGTCAGGGAAAACTTCCTTTCCAGAACCCCTAAGGACTGGAGAAGATGAGAAGAGGTGGAGGAAATGAAAGTGTGTGAAGCACACACTGTGCCAGGGTCATGGCACAATGTGCATGTCTGACCCATCCATATGATCCTGCAAGCCTAGGTTCCTTATTAGTTCTGTGTGTAAATCTTGTCCAGCTAGGCATTTTACATATTCAGTTAAGTGACTGAAATGTTACATCTATAATTCATGCTTATTTAGATTGAAAGAAGATGAAAGAGGCAGAGAAGCCAATTAAGAGCTAATACTGTAGGGGTCATATGGGTATATATATGTATATATTCATATATGTATATATGATATATGCATATGTGTGTATAGACACATATATGCATATATCTTCATATGTATACCCATATGACCCCTACAGTATGTATATCTGTGTGTATATATGCATGTATGTGTATATATGCACATGCATGCATATATATGTGCATATATACGCACATATATGCATATATATGTGCATATATACACATATGACCTCTACACATATACACACAAACATATTAACTGAAGTATGGTATCTGCAGGGGAGGAATCCAATGGTACAATTCCTTTGAATAGGTAAGTTACAGTTTAACAAAATGAATACCATGAAGCCGGAACGTGTGCTGTCAGGAAGGGAGGAGAGTAGATGAATGAAGGGAGGAGAGGAGATGAATGAAGAGAGAAATGGTGGACAAATGCAGTCATATTCAATGTATATATGTGAAAATGAAACTAGGAAAATTGAGAGGATGGGTGGGCTTAGGAGGAATGAAGAAGAGTAATGAAAGAGGTGATTTTGATTATGATTTATTGTGCTCACAAACTAACATGTTGAATTGAAAACCCTTCATTCAACCACTTAAGGATAATAAAGAATTTTTAAGTATTTAAATTTAAAAATTTTTAATTTTATTGCCAGACAAGATAATTATGAAGGTGGAGTGGATTAGATTAAGTCCAGAGGTAATTAGGAATATAATGTATAGAACTTGGAGGTAAATTAAACATAAGATGAAGGAATTAAGGGAGAGGGAGAAATAAACAAGGTAGTTTAGGGTCTCACTGATCTACCCAATGGGTATCCTATGCTGGGAAGATGGTTGAGGAGGAAGTGAGGCAGAAAGAGATAAGATGGCTTAGGATGGAGAGGATTCAAGTGGAAACATCTTGTTCATATGACCTTAGGCATAGGAAAGAAATCTGTGCCAGAGATAGATGAGAAAGTTGGAATACACATAGTAAGATAATGGGAACAGAGAGAGATGTCACTGTATTCTACTTCACAGCCTTTGTGTGTGTGTGTGTGTGTGTGTGTGTGTGTGTGTGTGTGTGCGCGCGCGCGCCAGTATTGGGCCTTGAACTCAAGGCCTGGGCTTTTCTGCTCAAGGTTGGTATCTACCACTTGAATCACAGCTATACTTCTAGCTTTTTGGCAGTTAGTTGGAGTTAAGAGTCTCACAGTCTTTCCTATTTGGGCTGGCTTTGAGCCATGATCCTCAGATCTCAGCCTCCTGAGTTGCTAGGATCACAGGTGTAAGGCTCCAGCTCTTGGCAGTCTCTAGAGACCAAAATTGTCTTCACTCGCTTGGAAATCTGCTCTGAGTTGAATATTAGAGTTAGGATTTAGAGGCCAAACAGACTAAACTAGATTAAAACAAAGAGCTTGGAATTCTGAATTATTTTTAAGGAGATATTTCTCCAGAACTTACAACAACATATCTTCTCCAAAAACTGTATGTTTTTAAATATTTAGGCCACATATACTTGTGAGTGTAAGTATGTGTACATAGTATTTAATGAATTGTATTTTATAATGGGTAGGATGCGTTCATAACAATAGCTATACTTAATAATGAGCTTAACATATATAAACAACATTATTAACATTTTTAATTTAAAACTCTGCTCTATAATAACATTTTACATGCTTTCAAATTAGCACACGACTTAAGTCATGACAAAAGGTTAAGATGGACAACTGGTAAATACAACAAAATAAAATAACAGGCAGACACAGGAAAAAAAGCAGAGGAGGCAGGGTGCCTCAGTCACCTGTGCACTGAGTCTGGAGTGCAGCTTGTGGTCTGACAACCAGGGGTGCTTCAGAGCTTCGCTGGCACTTATTCTCCAACTAAAAGGAAATCCAGAAAGTCAGTAGAAGCACACCAAGTGACCCCTGCACCTGCCATTCATCCCTAGTTCTGGTCATGGCCTTTGGTAGACTAGGTGGCCAACTTTCAAATTCAAAGTCAAATCTAGCCTCTCTGGAATTGTTTGCTTTAGAGGATGGCATAGGTGATCATCAGACCTAACCAGGGTAACAAAATGGGTAAAATAAGTCAGAGAAAAGGTTTTTACAAGTCTTGTTAATAAAAGACATCAACTTCCAAACAGAAGCAACCATTCTTATGATACAATATCTGAATATCATAAATTGAACTCCTAGCAAACAGTTGAAAAACAAATGCATCTTTATTATTGTAACAGTAAATGCTACATCTTTTTGATACTTGAACTGACACTTGAACTCAAAGCCTGGGCACTATTCCTTGGCTTTTTTGCTCAAAGCCAATAATAATAATGATAACCTCAGGTACTTTAGCTCTTTCTGTCAAGGAAAAAGAAAATCACTATCTAAATTGTCTTTCTCCTCAGCCTGATGCTGTTAGCCTGGCTAAATTCTCTTCATTCTCGAGACTCAGTTTGATTCCAACATTGTGTATATTGTTAGAATACATTGTAAGTTATTTCTTCTTTAAAAAAATCTATCACTTCTATTAGATCACAAGTTTACTAAAGCATGGGCTGAGCTTTATACTTCTGTTCTTACTGCCCAATTCATTTCCTTGAATGAAAGACTGTCCATCAGGCTTTGTGCCAGAGCCATGTTGGTACCTCTACTTCCCACAACATGCTTCTATCTATTAATTCATAGTCATGTTCACTAATGGACCTAAAAGTCACAAAATAATAAAACAATAAAGCAAATACTATTGGCTCTGAAAATCTTAAATATTATCATATGATCTAGGTATGAAGTCCCCTGAAATGGTGAATTGCAATGTCCTTCCCCCTTATAATTCTAACATGTAAGCCCTATATTTCAATATCATTCTTCACTCACTGTAATTTGTTTGAACTGATATGGTTTTAAGCACAGCCTTGGAGGAAGATCAACTTGGGCTTGAGTATCAGTGCTGCCCCTTGTAATTATGGAGCAAGTACTCACAGTCTCATCCATAAAACAGAAACAATAGCACTTTCTATAGCTTAGATCTAGGGGAGGGACAGTACTTAAAAGGGATAAATAGTTGGCACTCTCTAGGCCATAGTAGATTCACTAATGAAGCCGTAGAAAAGCGTTCAGTTACATAGAGCCACACTTGCTTTACAGAGGTGAAAGAGACAGTGATCACCTGAGGCCCAGGAGGAGACTGTAAATGTTGAGGGCTTTGCAGCAGAAGCCAGAAAGGCATGGATTCATAGCCAGATAGCAGTCTGCTGGCCAGAGAAATCCTAGTCCTTAGTAGGTCAGGTAACTGAGTTGAACTTAACTCAGTTTGCATCAGCACCATTGATGGCACTGGGAAATAGATTCTAACAAACCCTTGTGTTCCACAATATTTCTGATTACCCCCATGTCTCCTAGGGTAGAGGGTGAGCTGGGGATACCTCTTCTCCTTGATCAGGAGCTTGGAGATGAACTCCCTGGCCTCATCCGAGATGTCCTGAAATTCTTCTTCTTCTAAATCCCACCTGCATGCCAGGACGTTGCTTAGTGTCTCTGCATCATTATCACCCAGGAAAGGGGACAAACCGCTGAGTCTAGAACACAGCATCCAGAGTGAGGTGAGTGATTTCAAACAACCTTGAATCCTTCTTAGAATGTTTGCTTTTTGAGTCTGTCATTTAAAAATGAAAGGAAGAAATAAAACCTAACGATGTTATGTTCTCATAAATTGGCATGTTAAATTGAAATCCCTTTGTACAACTACTTAAAGATAGTAAAAGTAAAACTATAATGATGAAGCATGATTTCATGATCTATTGCAACTAAGAAAATGCTGACCTCCCCTATCCCAATTCCCAACCTATTTTCAAAGAAAAACACAATCTCCTTTTAAAGCATTTCACAACTAGCAAGGTGCTGTCATGTACTCAGAAGAAAAACACTAGGAATGTCGCTTCTGAGGAATAAGGAGATGAGTATGTGAGATTTATTATAGTAGTGTTGGTATTGGTATTATGGCTACCTTGGGGCTTTAGGTGATGTCTTGAGAATCAAAGTGGCCCGTGGACAGACATTTACTTTTTCAGATGATGTGGGAAAAAGAATTTGCTCACCTCTAGGATTCAACAGAACCTAGAAAGTAATTGAGTATGGAATGGTGCTATATATTGGTAAACCATCTAAATTAAGGCTTTAAATTAAGGCCTCATAAAACATGCACAGGTTGAAAGCAAGTGTGTAGGAGAAACTGTGAGGTTGCTTACAGCATGTAGGTAATCACCCCCACGCTCCACATGTCAGTAGAGAAAGAAACAAAATCATAGTTCACAACTTCAGGGGAGAGAAATTCTGGAGTTCCAAAGTTCACCTTCAGCTTCTCCCTGGGTTTGTACCTGAAATTGAAGAAACAAAGTAGATGGATGTAAACTGTCAATCAAGCTCAAAAAAATTCCAATGCTGAAAAAAGACACAATGAGACTAAATAATTTCAGCACTACAGGAAACTTAAACAAACTTTACAGGAAATGGATTGCTTGTGCTACTATCAAAAATTTCCCAAGGGTTTCAAGAATAAAAATTCATCTTTAAAAGCTTAATAATCTGCAACAGCTGTAGCAAAAGCCACTCTCAACTATTAGAACATCTGAATTACAGAAAAGGCAAAAAGAAAACCAGTACAGTCCTTGGCATGTAGGTGACCAAAGTAAGCCTATGCTAACACACAAACAAAATATTGCAAAAATTTATCATCCATTTATATGCATCATTAATATGCTGAATTGTTAATGTGTTCACCTAAGCTTTCTGTGGCCATACGAAGTTTATATGTGCCACAACACTCTGCAAACTTGTTTATACTATTAGTATTTTTACAGCAAATCAAAACAAAAACTCTTACAAATGCTAACTTAATGGCTTCTAACCTAATAAAGTTCACTGTACTGGGTTTTTATATCTCATTTCTTTATGAATTCAAGAAACCTTTAAATGCTCAAGTTCAACAAAGTAAGACTGAACATAGTTCTCATTAAATTAATTCTAAATGAAGGCAGGAAACCCAGGGGCATATCAGATTTATCTTTGCAAGGAATGTCCCCTAACACCATCCTTACACCTATGTCCAAACAGACATACCTTCTGGCCAATCCAAAATCAATAATTTTTATTTGTTTAGCATCTCGATTCACACACAGGATATTCTCAGGCTGCCAGGAGAAAGAGACACATTAGCAATAAAAACAACCATCCTTCACTCAAATTGTCCTTGAACCACAACTAAAAATACAACGATGCTCAGGAAAAACATATCAGGCCTTTCACTTGGGGGCTGGCTTGTCTGTGTGGGTATTTTCTCCTTTAATTATGTGGTGGATGAGGTTGTGGGTACCCTGCCAACCTTGCATTACCCTGCCTGTCCCTCTCCATGGTTTTGCAGTTTACCATAATGCATGAGTTCAAGCAGAGGCCTCCTTGAGGGAAGAAAGAGAAGCAGGCTGTTTCACTACTTCCCAAATGGGCTGGTGTAGGCCAGCTCAGATGTGACATCTGCTTCAACACACACTAAAATTATTAAGTATGTTTCCCCTTCTTGTAGGAATATTTTTCCCTTAGATTTATGAGTTCCAAGAGAAATGGCCTGATTCACTTAGACAACTACATTGAATACGCAGCACAATGTGTACATTCCTGACCTCCAGATTTTCCTTTTGTGTTTGTCTATGGGAAAGTCACACGCTAAAGGAAGGCTATTCTCTTCTACTCATTCTTTATCCTCAGAAATTCCAAAGTTTTACTGTTTGCTCTCAATGCCTAAACCCTATGACTTAGTGTTCCCTTAGAGTTAGACTCTGATAAGACTGTGCCCTGAGAGACTTATTGTGAAATGGAGAAAAGTAGGTAGTATTTGTCCTGTGGGTCTAACTACATTAATTAGAATAGGGGAAAAAAACAACAACCTGAGATCTGGAAAAAAAAATGAGGGACTTGATTTAAGGTCATTGTTATTCGTAAAAGAGAAAGAACATTTTCAAAGAGCTGAGAACTCTCCAACTCTAGTTTCAACTTTTCCTGAAGATGGTGCTGGCAAAGTCTTTGGATACCCAGGATTTCATATCCATCTTTTGGGTAGTGATCACAGCCCCTACCTTCTGTCTGGTAGAAAACAGGTTTAAACACAATAGAAACTCATATATGCTTTATGAAATGATGCAGTGTTTCCTTTTCAATATTCAATCATTGATTTGATAAAGCCCTTTTCTAAAGTATCTCACAGATATCTGCGAGTAAAAATCATTTTAAAGACAAGTTGTTGTTTTTGTACAAGCCATGCCTTTTATACTTAAATAAATCATTATGTAGAAAACTGCCTAGTCATTAAAAAATATTATAACATCCTAAACTGCCTTTGCCATATATATACAAACATCTATTGAGGGTACATCAAAAAGTTTTTACCAGACACTGGTGGCTCATGCCTCTAATCCCAACTACTCGGGAGGCTGAGATCTGGGGAACATGGTTCAAAGCCAGCCCATGAGAGTCTTATCTCCAATTAATCACCAAAAAAAGCCAGAGTGAAGCTGTGGCACCAGTCTTGAGCAAAAAAGTTCAGGGGCAGTGTGTAAGCCCTTAGTTCAAGCCCCAGGACTAGTTCATTTTTAAGCCAGGCACTAGTGGGTCACACCTGTAATTCTAGCTACTCAGGAGGATAAAATGTGAGGATCTAGGATTGAAGCCAGACTGGGCAGAAAAGGCCAGAAGACCCTTATCTCCACTGAAAGTGGCTGAGGCTCAAATGGTAGAGAGCCAGTTTTGAGCAAAAAGCTAAGGGAGAACACCCTGGCCCTGAATTCAAGCCCCAGCACAAAACAGTTAGGTTTTTGTGATTATGAAATGAAAGAATGTTCACTGCATAAGATTTGCAGAACGTAAAAAACATAAAGGGGACTTCTTTTAAGCCAGCTCTCATTTCCCTAAATAGTGACAAGTACTCTTAATATTTTTTGGCTCTTTTCCTTCCAAGGAGCTTTCTCAAAAGTGACTCCTTAGTGACTCATCCAGCTGTCACCTTTATTATTGTTGTTATATACAAGCCATAACTAAAACTACCCATTGCAACTGCTCAATCAATGTTAAGAAGCCACAGATGGAGTCATTTCACTTGTAGTAGTTTAGCTCCTGGCTCCAGTTGCCAATCAAATCCCTGTAGGAATATCTGTAGAATATCCACACTCATGGAAATACGGCCCATAAAAATACGCATTATCATACTCAGTTCATGGCCAAAGACTTTGCTAATGGTTTTTAACCTCTGACTTTGTCATTTTATATTCTATTTCCCCCCACTCTTGTCCTAAGCAACAGTGAGTGGGAAAGGCAAGACACATAAATCAAAGAGTGAGAGAAGCCAAGTTGTAGGAAGAGAGGCCCATGGAAACCTATTTAAAGCGGCTAGATTTATTCAGCTGCACACTCCCTGATGACTTGCAATCGATGGTATGTTATATAGAATGCATACTTTATCTCACTGTCATGCTGTGCAAACAGGAAAAGGGGGAAATGATGGAGCCACACAAGAAGATGCACTTTCAGATACTTAGTTCCAAAATTAGACATAACCGGGGTTACTGGGATTTGGTCTTTTGCATTAAATGCAGTTCAATTCTGGACACTCCATAGAGAATGATACAAAGGAGAGAGGAAAAAAGTAAGAGGAGAAAGGAAGTGATCCAGCTTCTGTCATGTGCTCTCTTCCATTTCTAGTGCAGCCCATCATACCCTCTCAGCACCTTGACATTTCAGCCCCACCTAATGGCTTCCCTTCATTCTGTTTTCAGTGATTTCTACTCATCTTCCAGTAAGTCAAGGGAAAGTAAACTGTTGAAGTCCAGAGCTTCCTAAAGCTCTGAAGAGGGGAGTGGTAGAGGTGCTTGAACATATGGAAAATTTGGCTATGGCGATGGAATTTGAATTAGCTAAAATTCTCCCACCTAAGTACCTTGAAAATGAGAAACTTCAGGGAAACCACCACCATGTTAATTTTATTTAACACAGGTAAGTTACAAGATCTGACTGATAGACTGTAAAGATGAGCATGCAAATAATAGTCCATAAAGATGGTGAGAGAGTTGAAAATAGAGAATCTAGATTTTTCTGGGTATGGAGTATAAGCCTATAGTCTCAGCTACACAGGATCTCACAGTGATATCTCAACTCAACTCAACACACACCCACACACCTAACTCCCACACGCAATCTTTATTAACTCCTAAAAACATAACTAGTGATAGAACAAATATTTTGAGCTGATATATAATACCTGACAGAGATTCCACCCCCCGCCCAAAAAAAAAACCTACCATATGAGGAAGGAAGGATTGGAAAAACTTTACATTTGGTAGGATGAAAAAAAGGTTCTACCTTTAAGTCCAAGTGGAGGATGTACATCTGATGCATATGCCTAATCCCCTCACAAATCTGTTTGATGAACAGGATGGTATCGAGTTCTGTCAAGTTGTAGTTTTCATCAATGATGCGGTCAAACAGCTCTCCACCTTCCACACTGCAATGGGAAAAAGGGTGAAGTTCAGTCCTGCTTCCTGAAGTACCACATGCTCTTAGTAACTTGGTATATACATTCCTGTAGTAAAGTGGTATATAAGTCCCTCTAACACTAACAAAAAGCACCATGTGTGCACAGTTATTTCTGTCTTCTTTGCCATCTTGGTCAGATGATGCTTATGGTAGAGGAACTTGATATATATATATATATATATATATATATATATGTACCTTCAATCTTAGAAAGAGAAAGCCTTAAAGTCCCTTTCATCAATTGATGGACACAGGTCTAGATAGTCTACTTGTACCATTCTCTATCACATATCAGAGATAGAGAAGGTACCAACACAGGAAGGGATTCCAACCAGCAACAGAACATGGCTCAGGATTTCAACCCAAGAGCAGGTACAGTGATAAAAAAAAAAGTGCTTCTGTGTGGCTGCTTTTTTATTCCCCAAGATGCCTTGCTTCACAGCGAAAAAGCAAAATGCAAAATGGAAAAAATGAATTACAATATTGACTCAATATTAGTTGGAACTACTAGTTTTCTTTTGGGAGGCAGTAATAGGACTTGAATTTGGGGCTTTGTACTCAATAGGCAAATGCTACATCACTTGAGCCATACTTTGTGCTAGCCAAGAATTCTGTTCCTCATATCTATGCCACCGTGTAGCTGTGATTACAGACACATACCGCTGCTTCCCAGCTTGTTCTTTGAGGAAAGATCTCTAAGATTTTGCACAGATTGACCTTGTTTCACAATTTTTGCACCTCTGCCTCCCATGTAGCTAGAATTACAGTCAGACATGAGCTTACCATGTCTGGTTTATTTTCATTTTCTTTCTTCCTTTCCTTCCTTCTTTCTTTCCTTCCTTACTTTCTTCCCCCTTCTTCTTTTCTTCATTCCTTCCTTCCTCCCCCCTTCTCTGTCTTGTCTCTCCCCTTCTCTCTCTCTGTATCTACACACACACACACACACACACACACACACACACACACACACACACACACACACACACACACGAGATTCTAAATCGAAGCTGGAACTTCTTAACTGTAGTCATCAAGGATTTGGTATGAACTTTGAATTCATGAATATATTAATCCCTACTTATTTACCAGTTCTCTCTCAAAGGTCTTATAGTCAACTGTAGCCAGTAAAGCACAATAAGCTATTTTGAGTGATCAAACATTCATATTTATTATAGTATGTTATTCTAATTGTCTTACTATTACTTGCTAACTGATAGCCTTTACTAGATAGATAGATAGATAGATAGATAGATAGATAGATAATAGGTAGATAGATAAATAGAGATGGATAGACAGACAGACAGACAGATAGATAGATAGATAGACAGATAGAGAAGATAGAGAAGAACATAGTGTCTATAGCTCATATTCCCTTGAGCTTATAGAAAGACAAATCTATAATGACAATGGAAAATCACTTTGTTTTAGATTACCCAGGGTAGAATTTAGGCTTGGTTTGGCCATAGAATTTAGATACAAAGATATATCTACTTTGTCTTACTACTTATCAATGGTAGATATACTTGTATCAATGGGAGATACACAATCATTAGCAGTTTCTTTTCTGAAACTAACTGGATCGTATGATTCATGCAAACGAGATCTGATGATGCATTGCACTTCTGTCCTGCTAAGGCAAGACAAAACTGCAGTCTCTTTGTTACAAGTGCTAGGAAGGAGGCATGTGAAGGGGACACCTACTACTCCATGACCAGGATGATGTCATTCTTGGACTCAAAGGCATCATAGAGCTGAATGAGATTCACATGGTCCAGTTGGTTCATGATGCTGATCTCATTCTTCACTTCCTCCTGAGCAGAAGGAAGAAACCACACATTAGCAGATGGATTCTAGTTGAGAGACAGAGAGAGACCTGCCTCCCATGGCCTTTACCTTGTCCTTTCGGCATCTGGTCTTAATGATTTTGGCAGCCAGCTTCAGGCCTGTTGCTTTCTCTTCACACTTGTGGACCTGGCCAAAACGACCCCTGCCAAAGAAGACATCACAGAGTGATCATCCTGATAGGCATGAGGTGTGTGTATGTGGTTCGGGCATTTCTCAATCCGAATTTGAATTTTCCATCCTGTGAGTACATCTACCCTCTCTGGTAAACTTCTAGGATAGCATTGATGGAGGTGGGATCTATGGAGCACCAATACCCTCCTGGAATTGAGAGGGTTAAGGCTTCACATTTCTGGGTACTGTTGGTTTATTATTTGCACATTAAACGTGGAGAACTGTTGTTATGAACAACACAGAATCATCCTGAGTACATGTGAATATAATAAGCAGGACTTTGTAAATATCAACAAAATAGTCTGTGGATCAAGGATATCAAATCATTTTAGAAACTGCATATAAATGTAAAAGTTAATAATGAATATAAATTCATATGATTAATGAGTCACTGATGAGATTTTTCACAGTGTAACTTCGATATCAACTTATATATACTTTCTTTTTTTTTTTTTTTTGTTGGTCGTGGGGCTTGAACTCTGGGCCTGGGCGTTGTCCCTCAGCTCTTCAACTCAAGGCGAGCGCTCTACCACTTGAGCTACAGCGCCACTTCCTCAACTTATATATACTTTCTATGACAGCTTTTGCTAGGGATATACTTTAAATATGTTCCTCAAAAGTTCATGTGATTGGTCTTCAGGATAGCAGTATTGGGTTGATATGGAACTTTTTGTTTGCCAGTTCTGGGCCTTGAACTCTGGGCCTGGGTGTTACCTGTAAGCTCCTTTTGCTCAAGGCTAGAACTCTTCCACTTGAGCTACAGCACCACTTCTGGCTTTTTTGTGATTAATTAGAGATAAGAGTCTCATGGTCTTTCCTGCCCAGGCTGGATTTGAACTGCAATCCTTAGGTCTCAGTTTCCTGAGTAGCTAGGATGGCATGGAACTTTTTTATATTTTTTTTATTGTTAAGGTGATGATGTCTAATTTGTTACCCCTTCCCTCATTTTTCTCCCTTTTTCCCTTCCCCCTCCAGTTCCAATCCCCCCTCACCAAGTTGTACAGAGCATTTCCAACATGTTGCCTTGTGAGTATCGCTGCTGCATAGGTTCCCCCTTTGTCCTTTGTCTCACCATTTTGTTGTTCCCCTTCCTTTCCCTAGTTCAGATAAACATATATACAATACTCAGGGTTCCAAAATTGAATGTAGTGACAACAGGGGATAAACCATAGGGGGGAGGGACACAAAAGAAAAAAGAAATCATGTAGTACATTGAGAACAACAACAAAGAAAAACCTCCTGTGTCCATGTCATGAAGTTCATTTTGCTTAGCATCATCTTATATGGGTAATATGACATAGCTATTGAGCTATTCTGATCATCAGCTAAGATTATCCTAGATGTATACTAATTATTGCAAATAAGAGAGACCATGGGACCTATATTTCTTTGGGTCTGGCTTACTTAATATGATTTTTTCCAAGTCCTTCCATTTCCTTGCAAATGATGCAGTGTTATTCTTTCTGATGGAAGCATAGAGTTCCATTGTGTGTGTGTGTGCACTATATATATATATATATGGTATGGAACTTTTAAGAAGTGGGGCCTACTACAAAATAATTGAGTTGTTAATGCTTGATAAGAAATGTACGCATTATCCTGCCCATGTAATTGTAACCCCTCTGTACAGTATGTTCACAAAAAAAAAGAAAAGAAAAGAAAATGAAAAAAAAAGAAAAAAATAATTGGGTTGTTAGATGTGTTGTCCTCTGAAGAAATTATAGATCTTGTGGAAACCTGGTTAGCTCTTGAAGATGAGCAAACCTAGCCCCTCTCCATCTCTCCCTGACTTCCATGTGCTCCTCCAATAATGTCATTTACCATGACATGATGCATCTAGAGGACCTTTCCCTAGAGCCTCTACAATGAAGGCACTATGATACCAAATGCCCAACCTTTGAGCTAAATATACCTCTTTCATTGATAGAATACCCAACCTGCAGTGGTTGCTTACAGTATCATAAAACAAAGTAACATAGCTTCTTACTTAGTAATCACGAAATGCACAGTCATGAGCAAGTTTTATCTTAAAGCAACAGCACAGGCTCAGTTATACTTTTCTAACTTATGTTAGGAGTATATAATAGCCACCAGTGTTGAAAGAAAGCCAAAGTGATTTTCCCGATAGATCAGACCTCAGTACAACAGAGCAGATCCAGTGGTGCTCACAGAGGTAGAACAGAAGTTTAAGGGGAGCCATTGGCAAACCTTGGCCGGAAAAGCAACAGAAACCCTGGGAATGATGTCCAAATTTCTTCTGCAAATAACTATTCTACTTCAAAAAAATATTTGCCGGCTTGCCACTGAAGTCTCTGAAGACTTAAACATGACACCAGCTCATGTTTTAGAATCCTCATTTCTCCTCTGTCCATTCCTACCAAGTGGAAAGCAAAGCATGATCAGCCAGCTGAGAAAGACCAAGGCCAGGTGATTCCATATGTCCAAAAGCAAAAGGAACATGGAATGGGAAGAGGAGAGAGAAACTTTACAAAAAAGTAACTAATTATACCCCAATAACCAATCACAGAAACTTTGTGCACCTTCCTTGTTAAGCTAATTTTGTACATGTGTAATTTTCTGCATTCCTCTTCCTCTTACAGTGTGAGATAATAAATGGAAAGTTTCATCATTACATCAATTTAGTATTAGTTACAATTTTCAAAAACGATTGAAATCAAGCTAGATGCCAGTGGCTCACACCTGTGATCCTAATTACTCAGGAAACTGCGATCTGAGGACCCAGGTTAAAAGGCAGCCTGGGCAGAAAAGTTGTGAGACACTTACCTCCAGTTAACTAGCAAAAGGCAGAAAGTAGAGCTGTGGCTTAAGTGGTAGAGTGTTAACCTTGAATAAAAAGAAGAGTACCGAAGCCCTGTGTTCAAGCCCAAGAACTTGCACTTAAAAAAATCTTGAAAGCTCTGAAGATGTTTATTTATAATGTTTCTAGTTCTTTGGTGATGGTCAGCTAACACTTCTGAAGTCCTCAGGCTCTGTTTCTGTGAAGGCTTTTCTGTTTTTAGTGAAAGATTATTCAAATCCAGAGTTACTCACCCTCCCAGAATGTCTGTCTTGCTGACAATATATGAACTGTCTACTGCAGCGTATTTGGCTGTTACAATACGATGGTCAAATGGAGCAGCAGGAGCTGGGATATCATCTGGAAGATGAGAGAAGGGCCATTTGTCAGGAAATCTGACCTCACAGTAGCATCAGTCATTGAGCCTCATAGAAAAAATGTGCCCATTTAATCATAAAAAACAAGTGACCCAACTTATTGCTAATAATCTAAGAACATACATTTTTACTTCAGATTCTGACTTGTGACTCATAAGGTGATATTAGAGGTTACAGAAAGAATTTCAGGGCCAGTCAACTATATCCTCATCAGGACAAATTTTGGAAAAGTCATGATAGTTCAAAATCTGCAGCCCCAGGACAGTTTAAACAGTAAGAGTTCAAGAGTTGGGGCTGTAACTTAGTCATAGAGCTCTTGTTTAGCATGAACAAGACTCTTGAGGTACTGCTGACCAAACCAGAGATTAGTCACCAGTACTACAAAAAAGAAAAAAGAAAAGAATAAAGAAAATAAAATACTTCTAAACCTGAGATCACTTTAATTCAAACGTAAGAAATTATTTGACCCATTTCTGCCATTGAAATGTTTGATATTTTATATATAATGCTTTCCAAAAATGTCTTAGGTGTTATATAAGAGACATTTAAGGCATAGAGATGAATTTTTCCTGGCTAGCTGGAAGTTAAACACCCAATAAAAGTAGGTAAGTGTGTAGTGTACAGCTATCAAATTTCTCCCACATTCTACCTTCTATCCCACGTGTTTAAACTTAAGTCTACATTGGCATCATTCCTAACATGCATAATTACTTGATAATATCTCTCCCAGTGTTTCCTCTAAACCTTTGCATTACTATTAAAATATTCTATTCACGAGCCTGTTCATTCTTTGTTTCATCACTTAGCATCTACTTTATACATACAATGATGTAAGAAAGTAGACTATAAGAAATTGTGCCTTCAAAACCAAATATTTATCCAACATATATTTCTTTAAGTACTTACCTTGTTCTATATACTCTTGTAAGTATTGATATGTTTAGCTTAATATCAATTTAGTTTAATTAATTTAACATTTTTATATTCAGATAACATAAACCACTAGGAATCTGATTTGATGTGACCATTCACCTCTCATACCATGCATATGCTGAAAAATAAAATCATGAGGGGATTCTCTTGATGGCATTCATTGTTTCCAATTTTGTTCTTTAAAAAAGAAATTGCTTCACTGGCCTGGAATATAAGCAAGGTTTGGGTTTGCATCCATGAGACCATTTTTAAAAGTGCTTGAGTTGGGGCTGGGAAGGTGGCTCAGTGGTAGAGTGCTTGCCTTGCATGCATGAGGCCCTGGGTTCGATTCCTCAGGACCACATAAGCAAAAAGAAAAAGGTCTGAAGTGGCGCTGTGGCTCGAGTGGTAGAGTGCTAGCCTTGAGCTGAAGAGCTGAGGGACAGCACCCAGGCCCAGAGTTCAGGCCCCACAACCAATCAAAAAAAAAAAAAAGTGCTTGAGTTAACCATATTAATGGCATCATCACAGAATTGTCTTCCTCAGGCTCTTAGACTAGGAGAAATTTGGTTGGAATGCTTGCTGGACAAGGTGAGGAAACTTTAGGAGGCCAGAACAAAAGCCATTTCCTACCCAGTGGGGCCATCAGATCTTGTTCTCTGGAGGTCTTCCTTCCAGCTAACTCCTGGGGTGGACCCTGACAGCTCCTTTGGTCTTGTCTGGTGTCCTCTGTCCTTTCAAATGTTTGTTCTTCGCTTGCACACACAACATCTATTTTGCTCTTTTTGTTGTCCTCATTGACAAAGTACTCCTCCATCACTCTCCGCTTACTGCTGCCAGCAAACTCTGTTTGTTCCACATTTTGGAAAGTGGATCCAGAATTTTCCAGGATTCCTTCTGTCAAAATGTCTTTTAGGCTGATGACACACCTAGAAAATAAAATCCAGTTGTGTTTCTCAAACTTTGAAGGAGAAAATGTTCAGATGATCAAAATTCTTAGAATCAAAGCTTTCTTACAGTAGTGTTCTGGCAAAGAGGATGTGAGTTCTGTAGCAGAAACATGACTACCTCAGTTAGAGACAAACTATGACAGTGTGTTGCTCCCTATTAGATCCAAGGATGTAGAAAATCTCCTCAAGATCTCATGGTGAACCCACATTATTTAACTGACTCTTTATAGAAGTAGTAATTTGATCTTCACCTTTTTGACTTCCTTTATTTATACAAGAGAAAAAAATCACTAAATTATAGCATAACATAAAAAGTGATAATCTGTGGGAAGATTAACAGCCAGGAGAGAGCCTTCACTGGTGCAGGAATTAACCTAATTTCCCTTTTTTGGACAGCTTCTGACCCCATTAAGGATATCTTTATAGGGATTACCTTGAATAATCCTATGCTTAATTTATGGAAAATTAAATTTTTCTAAAGTTAGGCTTCAAATATATTATTTTAAAACTAAATAGAAATTATTTCTTAATTCTCTAAAAGAGACCACACAGGTGTCTAGATATTGTTTTTGCCAAATAGATACTGTGATTTGTTTTAACCTAAAGCAATTCATTTTATTTGGTTACAAAATTTCTTAAATTTGTTTATGAACATTTTCAATAGAAAAATAAAAACAAAAATCTACTTCTTATAATATTTGGGGAGAAATGACCTATTTTTTCCTGAATCATGGACTAGGTATATTTTTCTGTTAGTTTTTAATTTACAATTAAATCTAGGCATTATTTAGTTCTTGGCCTTGGGAAGAATGTTTTATCTATTGTTAAAGAACAAAAAACAAACTTTTTACTTCATCTTTAAAAATACAATCGATCACTGGAAGTATTAATAACCATTACCTTTGTAATGGCTACTTGCACTTATTAAAAGACTTAGAAGACAGAAAAGTGGGACTAGTGTAGCTCTTCAATGGGAGCACAATACTTAGCATGATTCAGGTCCTGGGTTCCATCCCCAGGACAAAAAGAATATAAAAGAAGGAAGGAGAAGGGATGGAGAGGGGACAGAGAGGGGAGAAAAGAAGAGGAGGAGGTATGGGAGGGGAAGAGAGAGGAAGGGAAGGGAAAGGAAAGGAAGGGGAAAAGAATGAAATACTGGAAAATATCACAGGCAAGAAATAAAAAGTAATGACAAGAAAATATGGCAATGGAGATCTACCTTGAGAAACTCAACTCATTGCCTTAAAAATGCTCTCCATTTATCCTTTCAATTTAACCTCAAGTTTTAGTGGCACAAAAATATATAAAAACCTCACCAGCTGTGGATGTGTACTGGTATAACCCTACCTTTCATGGCACTCATCACCATTGGTTTTATCAACATGCTGCCTTTTATTTGAACATTGGTCCAGCACCATTTCATTTGTAATTGTGGTTCCTTCACCGTTCTCAGCTTCTCTTCCACTAGTTTCTTCCTTGGAAAAAGGTTCATTTTTCTCTCTTTCGAACAGTAGACATTCGTTTTTACCCACAACGCCTTGCTTATCATCTCCAGTACTACTGTTTTCTTGTCTCTTCAAACTCTCTACACATGAATAGCCTTTTCCATCTGACTCTATGGAATTTCTTGGCGCAAGATCTTCCGCATTATCTTGTTTTTCCATATTACACATGATAATACTCTGAGCTACGGAGGCATTGGTCTTCTCGGCATTTTTCTTGTTGAGTCTATCAACCTTTTCATTTTCAGAGGAGAATTGGTTCTTCTCTGTAGATCTTTCTAGAAGCCACCATAGGACACATAATATTTAATGGGGAAGGCATGTGATCAGTATAATCTGGGTTTCATACAGTGGTATCTCTACCTGGGTTTCTTTTTATCAGCAGGTATAAGACTCAAGAGCAAAGTAGGAGGAACTATGAATAATCAGCTGACAATGAATTTCAAGAGATTTTTGTTTATAACTGATAGGACCCAAAGCCAAGTTATCCACAAAACAACACATTTCCCTACACAAGTTTAGAAATGTGTCATTTCCTTTAAATAAGAACAACAGATGCAGCAGAACGGTCACAGCAGAATTCTTTTTATCCGCTGTATGGTCTTCTAGAGGTGCTACCTGTGAGGGATGATGTCCTTTCATCTTCAATACGTGTCCTTTCCTTCAGGACAGGGTTTGGCCACACCTTCTCCTCAGTCTGTAAATACAAAATTAAGTAATTGAAATCAGCTATTGCATCCGTGTTTCTCACCTTTAGCACTATGAAGGAGGAGGGTGGACAGTTGTTTGTTGTGAATAACATCATAAGTAGTACATACATACATCTAGCAGCAGCTTTAGCCTCTACCTATCAGATGCCAGCAGTTCCAGGCCTCTGAGCTGTGATGACAAAATTTTCCTGTAGATATCTGAAATGTATCCTCTTTATTATTTCAAAGTCCATAATGCCTTATTATGGACTATGTTGATCCTGTTCTGCAATAGATCTCAAAACTTACCATTCCTGACTATCTAACACATTGTCAATCAAATGTAAAATTAGCCAAGTACTGATAACTTATACCTGTAATCACAGATACTTGGGAGGCTGAGATATGAGGATTGCAGTTCTAAGCCAGTCCAGAGAAGGAAAGTCCATGAGACTCTGTTCTCCAATTAACCACCAAAAAGCTGGGAGTAGTAGAGTACCTTAGTATGGTAGTGTGGCTTAATGGTAGAATGATAGCTTTGAGTTAAAAAGCTAAGGGACAGCACCTAAGTACTCAATTCAAGCCCTAGTACTGCCAGATATACACACATGCATACACACACACACACACACACACACACACACACACACACACACACACACACACACACACCACACAAGACACACAATAAACCAAAATATCTTCAAAGATTGCTGAATGTCCCTTGGCAGCAAAATTGCTCCAGGTTGGTAACTACTATATTATATTATTCAGGCATAGAAATTAAACATAAAATAAGTAGTCACATAGTTTATAACCATTTGATTAATGAAATCCTATATAGATTAGAGTGTCTGAGACTTTCAAAGAAATACTACAGAATTCTATTAAGATTTGTAGAATGTAACCAATTTTTGTGAACAAACTAAAGGATAGCAACAATGTACGTATTATTTTTGACCTCCTGTTAAGTCGTCTTGATATGCTTCATGTAAGTTGAATGCAAAGATATATACACATAAACATATACATATATGTATAGGCACACACACCTACATACATACAGAGAAAGCAGGAGATTAAAGAAAGCTTTTCTTAAGAACAGATGGTACTTCTCCTAAGTAGATAAATTATTCTCACAACTCTAGGTTCTCTGTATTAGTTTAGTAACTCCCTTTAAAATACCACATAAAGGGGCTGGGAATGTGGCTCAGTGGTAGGGTGCTTGCTTCAATTCCTCAGTACCACATAAACAGAAAAGGCTGGAAGTGGCGCTGTGGCTCAAGTGATAGAGGACTAGCCTTGAGCTAACGAGCTTGAACTCAGGGCACTGTCCCTGGGCTACTTTTGCTCAAGGTTGCCTAAACTGGCTTCACATTGAGATCCTCATATCTCAATCTCCTGAAGAGCTAGGACTATAGGCATGAGCCACTAGTGCCAGGCTATTTTCATTTCTTATGCCCTTCTCTTTTAATCTTGTTTATCTTCTGTGGTGCTATGTAATAGACCCTAATAAATATTAATAATTCAGCTTGGCTATGATCCTTTTGTCTGAGTACAGATTGAAATAGGTAGCCAAGTTAGAACCCTATTGTGATTGTCTCTATTTCAGAGTTCTTATGAGGCACAGCTGAATTAATAATGCAAGGTTCTTTAAGGAACTCCTGGCACAGTGTCCATGCTCTGTACATTTTGGCCATTATCACTACCACTCATCGTCATCATCATACCATCATGATCTTCATCATCACCACCACCACCACCACCACCACCACCACCACCACCACCACCACCACCACCATCATCATCATCACATTACTATGTGATGTACTATTCTTTTGGACCATTAAAGGCACACAATCTAATAGGAAACTAATAAGGAAACATATTCAATAAAGTGTTGCAAGAGATAACAGGTTTATCCATAGGCAAAGATCTATGCAAACATAGAAGAGGAGCAACCCACTTTGCTTGGCAAAAAAAAAACAACACATAAAAAGTAAACAACCTAAACTGTTACAAACAACCAAACTGTTACAAACTCTAAAGCTCAGAGTCACAACCTGATTAAGTTGAAGGTCCACAGAATCAATCTCTTGTCCTTGAAATGGAATACAACTTGCTGAAGGGGGCTTTACAAACTGGAAACTCCAAGAGCATAACTCGGGTACTAAGGGCAATTGCAATATACTTTAAAATAATTCAAAGCACAGTTCCACAGGTTCAGAGTATTTCTACTTTGTTTCTGGGCGGGGGGGGGGGGGGGGTGCTTGCAATGCAGAGGCCTGGTCAATAACGTATAAAAAGCAAAGATCAGAGTGTAGGGCGAAAGAATTTTTCTCCTGGGCTGGGAAGGTAGCTCAGTGATAGAATGCTTGAGGCCCTGGATTTGATCCTTAGTACCACATAAGCAGAAAAAGCTGGAAGTGACACTGTGGCTCAAGTGGTAGAGTGCTAACCTTGAGTTGAAGAGATGAGGGACAGCACTCAGGCCCAGAGTTCAGGCCCCACAACCAACAAAAATAAAAGTTTCCCTCATGAATACAGTGCAGAGATGGCTGGAAAAAACAGTTTTCAGGGTCCTCAGGCAAAGTGGGTTGTTCCTCCTCTATTTTCATAGATCTTTGCCTATGGGTAAACCTGTTATCTCTTGCAATACTTTATTGAATAAGTTTCCTTATTAGTTTCCTATTAGATTGTGTGCCTTTAATGGCCCAAAATAATAGTACATCACATAGTAATGTGATGATGATGATGATGATGATGATGATGGTGGTGGTGGTGGTGGTGGTGATGTCAATGAAGATCATGATGGTATGATGATGATGATGAGTGGTAGTGATAATGGCCAAAATGTACAGAGCATGGACACTGTGCCAGGAGTTCCTTAAAGAACCTTGCATTATTTATTCAGTTGTGCCTCATAAGAACTCTGAAATAGAGACAATCATTTCCTTTTATAGAAGAAGGCAGGGTTCTAACTTGGCTACCTATTTCAATCTGTACTCAGAGATTACAGACAGAAGGATCGTAGCCAAGCTGTTATTAGGGTCTATTACATAGCACCACAGAAGATAAAAAAGATTAAGAGAGAAGGGCATAAGAAATGAAAACAGCCTGGTACTAGTGGCCTAACTCTTCAGGAGGCTGAGATACGAGGATCCCAGTGTGAAGCCAGTTTAGGCAGACAAACTAAGAGACTCTTATCTCCAATTAACTAGCAAAAGGCTGAAGTGGAACTATGGCTCAAGTTGTAAAGCACCAGAACAGAAAAGCTAATGGAGAATGAGCATGAGACCCTGAGTTCAAGCCCCACTAAAAAGAAAACAGATTAGTAATGAGACAAATAGTTATCAAAAGATTAGAATAAAAACAAATGGAGGGGAAGAAAGGATAAACAACTTAAAATTCAGATTTGAATGTACACATTCAAATTAGTTAAATGTCAAGACAGTTTTAACAAATTGTGTCTATAACATTTAATTTTTATGATTATTTTATCTTTTCATTTGTAACATAAGAAGGTTGCATTATGATGTTTCTATACAAGCACATAGTGCATTTTGAACAAATTCACTCTCTCTGCTATGTTCCTACTCCTAGGTTTCTCATTTGAAATACAACTAAGTATATCAACAGGCATAATGCTTCTGGACTTACCTTTGTGGGATAAACATAATGGTAAAAGCAAAGATGTATTTAACTATAAAAGCTGGAGTGGCTCCTTTTATTTCAGTCCATCAACATAGGTAAAATTGAGAATTTGGCTGTTCTAATTGATCACTGGAGTGCTAATTGATCACTGCTTACCCAGAAAGCCAGCTGAGTGTGGGTAGAGCATCTGTTCACATGTTGTGATCAAATTCTTCAGGCTCCAGGTCTGACCCAACCAGCAGCAGAAGATACTGATGTTGAAGAGCAGAGAACCCGGTTTCTGAACAAAGCTACCCCCCCCCTTTGGTAAACATAAACCACATGTTTTGCCATGTAAATAATGTAAGGTCTTCATTCATTGCTGCAGGATATTATATTTTCATTTCCCTATGTAATACTGACATCTAGAGGAACTCTGAACTGAAGCTTTTCCAATAATCGGAAGTATGTCTTTCCTGTGTCTGGACAGTAAAGTTGTTTATTTTGCGTTTCCAAGTTCTGTATAGAAGTCGCTAAGACAGAATACACTGATCTGTGGATGCATCTATTTGCAGTCCAGAAATGAAACATGTTTTCTGCTGACTATGGAGGATAGGATGGATGCTGTGAAACACAGATGTTCCTGAAACAATTCTGCTCATTATCCTATTAAAGGATAAAAAACACATAGGGAATGCACTCCTCTGCTGAATTCACACTGATGACTAAGAACAAAAGACCTTGTTTCATTCAAATGCCTTTATTTATTCATGCACTTGTGAATGGCTGCCTTTGTTGCTACTTATTATAACAACAATTTTCAGTTTATGAAAGTGGCTAACACACATCGTTCAGATATTCAAATATTCAAAGCTTGGCTTTCTCCACTTGTCCTCTTTCCTACATGAGTCTCCTTAGTATCCAGGGATTATCCAGAATTCTAAAAAACACATTTTTGTTTGTTAAAGTCACCCAGCCAGTAGTAATTTGCTATAGCAGCCTGAACTATGTCATTCTTTTGTGTGTGGGGGGAGGGAGGGTCATGGGGCTTGAACTCTGGGCTTAGGCGCTGTCCCTCAGCTCTTCAGCTCAAGGTGCGTACTCTACCACTTGAGCCACAGAGCCATTTCCAGTTTTCTGGTGGTTAATTGAAGATAAGAGTTTCATGGCTTTTCCTGCCTGGGCTGGCTTTGAACCATGATCCTCAGATCTTAGCCTCGTAAGTATCCAGGATTATAGGCATGAGCCACTGGTGCCCAGCTACTCTTTTTAAATATATATTTTATATGTTTTAAAATACATATTAATAAAATTTGACATGCAGGCAATCTGTGAGTTTCTATATTAAATTAAAATATTATTTATAAAAAGCAGT